TTTATGTATCTAAAAAAAGTTTTGTCCCCCTTTTTTACTGACTGTGCTAATTTCTCTTCTGTGTGATTTGGAAGCTCTTATAACTTGCTTAGCCTCTTTCTGCCTAATCTTATAGATCATTCTGTCTTCCTCACTCTGGTTTTTTTTATAATTACTAAATGCTAACTTTTTAAAAGTTTTTTACTATTTTGGCCACATCTGCGGAGTACCACAGTGGTTTCTTGAATTTTTTGTTTTAATGCAATTTTCTGTTTCCTTCAGTAGTGCAACTTTTAAATAATCCCATTTCTCTTGGACTCCATTTAAATTGCTCCAGTCTGATAATGACTCCTTTACACATATTCTAATTTTAGAAAAGTCTGTTTTTCTAAAGTCTTAAACTTTTGTTTTTGTGTGGTGTGACTTAGTCACTGTTCTTATATTAAACCACACTGACTGATGATCACTGGATCCTAAACTTTCACCTACAGTAATATCTGATACCAAATCTCCATTTGTTAACATTAAATCTAGTATGGCCTCTTTACAAGTTGGCTCCTCAACGACTTGTTCTAGAGACAATCCCAGTAGGGAGTTTAGAATATGTGTGCTCCTGGCACAAGCAGCTATTTTTGTTTTCCAATTCACATCAAGGAAGATTTAAGTCACCCATGATGATAACTTCCCCCTTTATTGTCATTTTAGCTATTTCCTCAACTAGTAGATTATCTAACGCTTCAATTTGTCCTGGGGGGCTATAAATCACGCCTACACAAGTTACTGTGTGATTACCAAATTCTAACGTAACCCAAACGGACTCTATGTTCGCCTCACTAACTTTTATTAGGCTAGATTTTATGCTATCCTTCACATACAGGGCCACCCCTCCCCTTTCTTGCCTTCCCTGTCTTTTCTATATAAAGAGTACCCTGGTATTGCTATGTCCCAGTCATTTTTCTCATTATACCATGTCTCAGTAACAGCGACTAAATCTACACTATCAGTTGCCATTATTGCCACAAGTTCATGGATCGTATTCCCTAAACTGCGAGCATTTGTAGACATGACTCTAAACTTATCATTTTTTAACAAACTTGCTACAGGCACCTTCTGTCCTTGTTTTGGGGGACAATTGGATTGATGTTTTATCACCTTTTGCCCCCCCCCCTCCTAGTTTAAATACATCCTAGCAAAACCTCTGAACTGCTCACTGAGAACATTTGTTCCCTTTTGAGAAAGATGCAAACCATCTTTTTTGTACAGTTTATTTCCATTCCAAACAGAGCTACTATGAGAAATAAAGCCAAATCCTTGCTCCCGACACCATTCACCAAGCCACAATTAAAGTCCCTAATACGCATCCGCCTGTCGTTCTGAGTGTTATGCACAGGCAGAACTTCAGAGAATGACAGTGTGGAAGCAACCTGCCGTATATCATTGGCAAAAACACTAAAAACTTCCTTAACCTCTGAAACCTCATTGCAAGCCAAGTCATTTGTCCCTAGATGGACAAGTACATCCAATTCCCCTTCCTGCTTTGCTCGCTTAACAATATTACAGATACGTCTCCTGTCTCTGTGAGCAGTAGCTCTGGGAAGACACCTCACAAGACCACCATTGTCCATCTCCACACCTCTTATGATGGAATCCCCCAACAACAACTGCTTTATATTAGGCCTCACCATAGTCTCCAAGCCTGTCTCCACAACACCACTAGCCTCGGTGCCTCTCTCCACAACACCACTACCCTCAGTGCCTCTGTCCACAACACTACACTCTGAAAGTGCAGAAAATGAATTATTAGAGCAACAGACTGTGCAATATGCCTTTTATCCACAACTCTAAGTCTACCAGATCCTACAGTAATCCATCTGCCATTTCTAGTATGTCTCTGCGGCAGTGGCTTGGCAGCAGTTCCAGCCTGTTTGTTTACCAGATAATTTACAAATCTCAGACTTCAAAAATACAATCTCCTGAGATGTCACATGCACTATTTTATATAGACTAACACATAAGTACAGGTGATACTCTAAAAATTAGAATATCGTGCAAAAGTTCATTTATTTCAGTAATGCAACGTAAAAGGGGAAACTAATATATGAGATAGACGCATTACATGCAAAGCAAGATTGTTCAAGCCGTGATTTGTCATAAGTGCGATGATTATGGCTTACAGCTCATGAAAACCCCAAATCCACAATCTCAGTAAATTAGAATATTACACGAAATCAATAAAACAAGGAGTGTACATAGAACAATATCGGACCTCTGAAAAGTATAAGAATGCATATGGACTTGGTTTGGGCCCCTTTTGCAGTAATTACTGCCTCAATGCGGCGTGGACTGGAAGCCTGTGGCACTGCTGAGGTGTTATGGAAGACCAGGATGCTTCAATAGCAGCCTTCAGCTCTTCTGCATTGTTCAGTCTCATGTCTCTCATCTTTCTCTTGGCAATGCCCCATAGATTCTCTATGGGGTTCAGGTCAGGCGAGTTTGCTGGCCAATCAAGCACAGTAATCCAACGATCATTGAACCAGGCTTTGGTGCTTTTGGCAGTGTGGGCAGGTGCCAAGTCCTGCTGGAAAATGAAGTCAGCATCCCCATTAAGCTCATCTGCCGGAAGGAAGCTTGAAGTGCTCCAAAATCTCCTGGTAGACGGCTGCGTTGACCCTGGACTTAATGAAGCACAGTGGACCAACACCAGCAGATGACATGGCTCCCCAAATCAAAACAGACTGTGGAAACTTCACACTGGACTTCAAGAATCTTGCAGTGTGTGCCCCTCCATTCTTCCTCCAGACTCTGGGTCATTGGTTTCCAATTGAGATGCAAAAGTTGCTCTCATCAGAAAACAGGACTTTGGACCACTGAGCAACAGACCAGGTCTGTTTTTCTTTAGCCCAGGTAAGATGCTTCTGACGTTGTTTGTTGTTCAGGAGCGGCTTCACTAGAGGAATACGACATCTGAAGCCCATGTCCAGGATCCGTCTGTGTGTGGTAGCCCTTGATCCACTAACTCCATCCTCAGTCCACTCCTTGTGAAAGTCCCAAACACTTTTGAATGGCCTTTTCCTGACAATCCTCTCCAGGCTGCGGTCATCCCTGCTGCTTGTGCACCGTTTTCTTCCACACTTTTCCCTTCCACATAACTTTGTATTAATGTGCTTTGATACAGCACTTTGGGAACATCCAACTTCCTTCGCAATTGCCTTTTGAGGCTTTCCCTCCTTATAGAGGGTGTCAATGATGGTTTTCTGCACAACTGTCAGGTCAGCAGTCTTCCCCATGATTGTGATTCCTACTGAACCATTTAAAAGCTCAGAAACCCTTTGCAGTTGTTATGGCTTACTTAGCTGATTAGAGTGGGACACTGTGAGCCTAGAATATTGCACCTTTCCACAATATTTTAATTTACTGAGATTGTGGATTTGGGATTTTCATGAGCTGTAAGCCATAATCATCGCACTTATGACAAATCACAGCTTGAACTATCTTGCTTTGCATGTAACGCGTCTATCTCATATATTAGTTTCCCCTTTTACGTTGCATTACTAAAATAAATGAACTTTTGCATGATATTCTAATTTTTCGAGTATCACCTGTACTTAAACCTTTTCACTCTTGCATGTTTACACAACAAAAACTCAATAAGTGAAATTAAAGTAAATTGTCCAAGCAGTGCTCTACTGCTAGGCTACTGTCTAAGTAGTAACTCAGAACAAGATTGTAGGACTTTTAAACTATTATACACAGGGCATCAAGCTGAGACCCCGTACTGTAGATTCAATTGGCACAATTAAGAAATCACCTCTTGGAGCATACCAAGCATGTGTGAGTTGCTCTCAGACAGGACAGATTTCACAGGCGACCTAAAGATGCCCAGCAGCAGTCATCCTTTATTATCAGGGGATCGGTCTGTGCTGTGGAGGAAGAAGGGAAGGGGGAAAATATTCATATTGTAGTAATGTATAATACTTGCCTACCATTTACAATATAAATGTCAACCCTTTCCCCCAATGTGAAAAAAAAATGACAGTATCTCAGTCTTTTACAACTGGTAACAGAATTTTTTATTTTTTTGTAGCAACAATTATGTGGTGGGTAAGCCACCTCTGAGGGTTATGTTGTTGTGGGTGAGCCTTTAAAGGACCACTATAATGCCAGGAAAACAAACTCGTGTTAATAGGTCGGCCTCCCGCCGGGCTTAAGTGTGAGGAAGGGGTTAAAATCTTACCTTTCTCCAGCGCCAGACTCCCTCGGCGCTGGGGACTCTCCTCCTCCTGACGTCATCGGTTGAATGCGACGCATTCAGTCAGTACCTATTAAAGCATTTCTCAATCAGTGAGAAGCGCAGATGCGCCTCTAGCGGCTGTCAATGAGACAGCCACTAGAGGTTGGATTAACCCTATTGTAAACATTGCAGTTTCTCTGAAATGCTAGGATTACAGCTGCAGCGTTAACCCTAGATTGACCTGGCACCCAGACCACTTCATTAAGCTGAAGTGGTCTGGGTGCCTATAGTGGTCCTTTAACCTTCAAACCCACTTTAAATTAAGAAAATATTGCCATAGTATATAAAAATTGTTTTGCCATCAGCTCTCATTGACTAATTTTCATTGAAAACTCTGGTCATTGAATAACCACTCCTTTCTTTTTGCTAGGAACACATAACTTAACATTCAGCCGTTTTGTTGCATGTCCATGTTACATTTAAAGCATCGCTGTCACTTTCAGGCTTTTTGCATATTTTGCAAAGATGACATGTAAACTTTGAGTCGGGTAGGCCCTGGGAGAAAGACTTACTTAAAACTCTCCCTCGGAGTGGCATCTTCCTTTCAGGCAGCTTACTCAGTCATCATCACTGTAGAATACGGGAGTGCGCCACTCAAGTTTATGGACCAATCTATGAGCTCTTACATAGAATGTCTCAATTCACGAGACAATGCCTTTTCCCCACTTAATGAGACCGTTTGACCATAGTAGAAAGAGGAAACTCTGCCTTGTATCAACTTTTTACAAACCTTTATTTTACGCTAAGACAAAACAGTCACTACTTTTTTCACATGGTATGTTGTTTGAGATGGCATTAAAATGAAATTCCCATGAAGTTAATGAGTATCCCAAAAATATTTAATTTGTATAACATAATCAAAAGTGACAGACCCATCTGAAGTAAGCAGATAGAATAAGAATAAGATACAATAAGGAGGAGAATGAATAGTAGTGAGAAGCTCAAAAAACACCTTAAAGTGGTATCCCCTAAACCACTTTAAAAAATAAACAATATACGTACATACATAAGGTGGAGCTCCTAAATAGATGTTCAATATATATTCTGTAAATAGAAATGCAATACAACAGTGCAATACAATTTGAACAAGTTAAATATGTTATTAAAAACAAGAGTGGTATCACTCACAAGCCTGGAGTCATAATCTCATATGACTCGAATGGTAAGCACCTGTGGACCTTTATAGGATGTCCAAATCCTTCTTCTAATGTGATTCATACTTCTTAATATCAGAGTGCTCGGAGTTTCCCCACACTTCACAGGCTTGGAGGTGTATACACGCCAAGTCAAAGTGGTAACTCGTTGTTGCTCTCTCTATGCTTTGAACCGTGTATGCGTTCCGGCTCATGGGAAAAAGAAAAACATCTGTTTTCCAAAGAGAAATAATATTTTTGTTTGGGAAGCCTTCCATAGTTTCTAAATTCTTCTAAAAAAATAATTAATATGGACATAAAACACTGTACTATAAAGAGGGGGCTGGAGTCACACAGCGTCTCCAACCACTTTAAATTGGCTCATAATCAAAACCCTTAAGGACTGTTCTTCAGTGCAATTAAATTAGTTAAAAAGGATTGGAGAGGAGGAGATTACACTAAAAAGATTGGAATGGAGGAAATGAAATTCATCTTTAATTTTAACACTATGATTCCACAAGGGTTAAATCAAGATTTTGAATTATGTCATTGTATGAACTAATATATTACAGTTTTTTATGCCCATTCTATGAACCAATATTGTATTGTGTTTTTATGTCCAATCTTAATGTCATAACCAACAACATATTGATTTAATTAAAGGACCACTATAGGTACCGAGACCACTTCAGCTTAATGAAGTGGTCTGGGTGCCAGGTCCAGATAGGATTAACCCATTCTTTTATAAACATAGCAGTTTCAGAGAAACTGCTATGTTTATGAATGGGTTAAGCCTTCCCCCAAATCCTCTAGTGGCTGTCTCATTGACAGCCGCTAGAGGCGCTTGCGTGATTCTCACTGTGAAAATCACAGTGAGAGCAAGCAAATGTCCATAGGAAAGCATTGATAATGCTTTCCTATGCGACCGGCTGAATGCGCGCGCAGCTCTTGCCGCGCGTGCGCATTCAGCCGACGGGAAGGAACGGAGGAGGAGAGCTCCCCGCCCAGCGCTGGAAAAAGTTAAGTTTTTTCCCCTTTCCCCCTTCCAGAGCCGGGCGGGAGGGGGACCCTGAGGGTGGGGGCACCCTCAGGGCATTATAGTGCCAGGAAACTGAGTATGTTTTCCTGGCACTATAGTGGTCCTTTAATTTTAGACTTATTTTTTATATAAATATTCTATCATGTTTTATTATACCCTCATTTGATTTTAATGAATCTTTTAGAAGAATGTAGAAACTATGGAAGGCTTTCCAAACAAAAAAAAAATAAATAAAAAAAATATATATATATTTATTTATTTTTAGAAACATAGAATGTGACGGCAGATAAGAACCATTCGGCCCATCTAGTCTGCCCAATTTTCTAAATACTTTCATTAGTCCCTAGTCTTATCTTATAGTTAGGATAGCCTTATGCCTATCCCACGCATGCTTAAACTCCTTTTACTGTGTTAACCTCTACCACTTCAGCTGGAAGGCTATTCCATGCATCCACTACCCTCTCAGTAAAGTAATACTTCCTGATATTATTTTTAAACCTTTGTCCCTCTAATTTAAGACTATGTCCTCTTGTTGTGGTAGTTTTTCTTCTTTTAAATATAGTCTCCTCCTTTACTGTGTTGATTCCCTTTATGTATTTAAATGTTTCTATCATATCCCCTGTCTCGTCTTTCCTCCAAGCTATACATGTTAAGATCCTTTAACCTTTCCTGGTAAGTTTTATCCCGCAATCCATGAACCAGTTTAGTAGCCCTTCTCTGAACCCTCTCTTTAACTGATCAATTAATTGTTACTCCTCTTTGGAAAACAGATGTATTTTTATTAGCACTTTAACTGATGTTCTGAAATGAATTATTAATATAAATAGAAGTATTAATCATCTTTGGAATACAGATGTATTCTGATCAGTATTTTAATTGATGTTTTGAAGCAACCGGAATCACATACAAATGCGTTCCAAATGTAATGTCATGTAGATTTTGCTCAATAAAGTTTCTTTTTCCCATGAGCCGGAACGCATACACGGCTCAAAGCATAGAGAAAGCGATAACCGGAAGTGACATCACCATTACAAGTGACGCTGGAACACACGTTGCGTTCCATTACACCGGAAGAGGAAACTGGTAAAAGTAAAAGTAAACAACAAGCAGCACATTTAAAGAAGAAAGAGTCGGCAAGACCAACTAAAACCAACTGAGGAAGCCGGTTTGACCAGGCGAAACGCGTTTTAGACATTTATATGGACTACTAAGCTATCCGGAAACATTATCTGGTACATTTTACTTATTTTAATTTTGTGAAAGTTTTTTATAGATTAAATAAAGCACTTTTTTTGAAGATACCACTTTGACTTGGTGTGTATACACCTCCAAGCCTGTGAAGTGTGGGGAAACTCCGAACACTCTGATATTAAGAAGTGTGAATCACATTAGAAGAAGGATTTGAACATCCTATAAAAGGTCCACAGGCGCTAACCATTCGAGTCATTTGAGATTATGACTCCAGGCTTGTGAGTGATACCACTCTGTAGTAAATGTGTTCTGTTAGTGTCAGTACATTTCCTTTAATACGGTGTTCTGGATTTGGACATTTTTACGTTATACCAATATACTCAATTAAGGAACATTATAAAACAGAATCATCCCGTTATGACTATTGTGCAATTAGAATAATAAGATTATTATGCAAAGTTGTCATTAATGGAAAATTTTCAATTTGGAACAAAAGTGGTATGTGGTGTCCCTCAGGGTTCTGTTCTAGGACCACTACTGTTTAACATTTATTAATGATCTTGAAATAGGCATTAAAAGTCATGTTTCAGTGTTACTCTGTAAAGCAATACAATGTGAGCAGGATACTACTTCGCTGCAGAGGGATTTAGACTGGGGGGACTGGGCACTCAAATGGCAGATGAAATTTAATGTAAATACAAAATTATGCACTTCAAGATAAAAAATGCACAAGCAACTTACACCTTAAACAGTAGTGAATTAAAGAAAACAACACATAAGAAGGATTTGGGAATTGTTATAGACAACAAATTAGGCAACAAGGTGCAATGTCAATCATCAGTTGCATTGGCAATTAAGGTATTACCAAGTATAAACAGGGGCATTCATTCTCAGGAAAAAAATATAATTTTGCTTCTTTATAAATGAATGGAAAGACTACACCTTGAATATGATGTGTAACTTTGGGCACCTGTTCTAAAGAAGGATATTATGGCACTAGAAAAAGTTCAGACAAGCTAGAAAAATAAAAGAAATTGAACATTTTAGCTTTGAGGAATGGTTAACAAATTTAAATTGTTTAGTTTTTTTTTTTTTTAAAACAACGGCACCTCAATGGGGATATGATAGCATTATACAAATACATTTGGGGGCAATACAAACCATTATGTCTGGAAATGATTCATAAACATGACTATACATTTTATTTTATATTTCAGATGTGTACCTGCCTTGTATAATTTTGCTAATAGGACTATACATAGGACATAAGGTCACACACTTAGACTAGAAGAAAGAAGATTTAGTCTAAGGGAAAGGAATTTTTTTTTTTTTTTTAACAATAAAAACAATAAGGATGTGGAATTCTCTACCGTAAGAGATGGTTTTATCACAGTCTGGACAGATATTTAAACAGCAACTGAATGCAAAAACATAATATTCAGGGATATAAGTTTTAATATATGGGGTTATAGCTTCTTGATCCTAGGAGAAATCTGAATGCCATTCTGAGGTTGAGAAGGATTTTTTTGCACAATTGGAAAGTGCTTCAAATATGTGGGGGGGGGGAGGGGGAGGTTTGCCTTCTTTTGGATAGACAGCAAAAACAGATGTGAGAAAGGCTGTACTAGATAGACGCATGTCTCTTTTCAGTCTATGCAACTATGCATCTGCTGCAAGCTCTCCCTTTCTTCCCTAGCACAGACTATGTGGCTGTCCAATCACAGACTTCTCAATGAGCTGTATTAATGTATGCTACATGGTTATGGTGCCAGGAGTACCGCCTTGCACTGTCCAAACATAATGCATCAAAAGCAGTTTGATATTTACCTGGCAGCCTGTGCTGCTTCCAGTCTTCATGAGCAGGAAAATCCAGATGCCTATGTAGACTTTCACTGATTGGCTGAGTGTCTTTTGAGGACACTCAGTCAATAAATAAGTTTAATTTGTTCTTGAATAGAACAGACGTCAGACTTTTGAGTTCTAAGAACACCAGAACCAACATGCGCACCAAGCGCAACCTGAAGTGTCACACCATGCTAAAAAGGTTTAAGAGTACCAGAACTCTGACACCCTAAGCACTTTAACGAACTGTTGTGGCTATGGTGCTTGTTCCTTTAATGAAACATTAATCCAATAATGTTACTAAAGAAAAACTAATGAGTGACACGAAAACATTCAAAAGAAGGTGTTTGGGGACAAATTTGCATTTTCTTCAGTTTTCAATGTTTATACAGCAGTTTAGTCTTTACAGCAAAACAGAAGTTAATCATGTTTACAGTTTTGTGATTGAAAAACAATAGACAGCATGTTTGGTCCTTAACCATATATAAGGAGTTTACTTCCTTATAAAAAGGTTACATATGTACCGATTACATAGAACATGATTAATTTATAACATAATTTAATACTGACTAGGTAAGTAACTAGAAGAGATTTTTGAGACAAATATGGTTAATACATCCACAGATTAGCTTTATAATAAATTAGCTCTTTTCTCTGAAGGTATATATTTCAGATATATACCTACTTTCCAAACAATGTTACGAAGGCAGCAAAATACATCAACTTAATTATCTCATGTTAAACTGCTCAAAGCGTTGTAAGAATTTCAGTTAGAGGCGGACAATTCTTGACAACTTCCCCCTTTTTTTTTTTCCACACACGTTGGTGAAAAACTTTGCACACTCTTACTTAAAGCTAATTTTGTGAGATGATATTTGCACTTGATTTATATGTACCGCAAGTAATATGTCTGTAATAATCGCATTTTTGCTTTGGTGTTGGCACGTTAAAACTGTGATTACCAGCTTTCCTTCGGAATATATTTCGTGCCTTGCCTACGGTGGCCAATAACAGCACCTACAGCCTTAATACTCTGAACACCCAAACTTCTTTCTCCAAACTTAACAACAGGATGAACTTGTGCTGTTGTTGCTGTGTAGGTCAACCGTGCGGCCAAGTATTGAATGTTCTACTTGTTCTTCTACAGCCAATGCCTGTCTCACAGCCTCTTCAAATGCACAATTCACATTTGTGTCATCCTTAGCACTTGTCTCCAGGTAAGGAAACCCTCCGTTTTCATTGCACCAGGTTTGTGCTTCTATGGTACTTACAACCCTCTCACTCTTGTCTAACTTATTTCCAAGAACAACAAAGGGGAAGCGGTCAGGCTCCTTGACATCTGCATAAAAAATAAATTCTTTCCTCCAGCTTGCCAGATTCTCAAAACTCTGCCGGTCATCAACACTAAAAGTCAGCAAGCAGCAATCAGCTCCCCTGTAGAAGGGAGTACGTAGACTCTTGAAGCGTTCCTGACCAGCAGTGTCCCAGATTTGTAGGGTTACCAGTCGACCATCTACTTCCAGGTCTCTGTTGAGAAACTCAACACCAATGGTGTGAAAAGCCTGAGAGTCAAACTTGTTCGTGACATAACGATTCATAAGTGAGCTTTTCCCAACACCCCCATCACCAAGGAGTATAACCTTGAGGAGCAGAGATTTACCACTCATTGTTGTCCAGTGAGAAGACCTATAAAACACTAAAAAGACAAAAGGAAGAGGGTCTTAAGATAGTATCACACTTATGAGAACTTGCACACTTGCATTTAATAGCTAAATAAATTCTGTTTTCAAGGTAAAAACTAATTTTTACTTGCATTGTTCAACCTCCTACACACTTGAGTGACTCTTAAAAGATAAAATTACCTCTTATCATATAGCAAGCCTAATTAGAAAGTACATTCCCACCGACCGTACCATACGATCTAGGCATAGACACACATAGACGCCACAGCCAGGACTAACCCGATGATAACCAGCAGAAGGGACCCCCCACAGACGGGGTGACATACGGCCCGCACCCGGGAAGACTAGACGCTGTGCGGTCCACAACCTCTCACGACGTAGCCCGGGCTACGGCATGCATAACCATTGCAGAGACCAACACCTGACCCATAGAACCCTGATCATTAGCGCCGCAGAGCCACAAAAACGAGAGAGGGACACGCTACCAAAGGTACCTGACACTAGCGAAGTGCGGATTGTGGCACCATAGCCCTATAATTGTATTTGCCCTCCTTAGCTGAACTCTCACAAGATGCCTATCCACTATTGTAAAACATGTCCTGGGTGTATGAAAGTATGCTTAACATAGATCTGACTGTTCTCCCTCTCTTCCTTTCTGTACCCTTGCTTAACAAACTACTGAAAATAAAGATTGTCAAAAAAAAAAAAGAAAGTACATTCCAACCTCGCAGGAGAGGATGGATGTCTTGCTGCAGCTAAGCATAGCCAATACAGGACCACACAGTTTCCACTGAATTAACTCCCTCTTCTCTTTCATTGGTTCTGCCCTGATATCAGATCAGTGAAGTGTGATATTTCAGAGTAATTAAATTATTACATTAAAATTACATACTTACACTTAAAGGAACACTATAGCATTAGGAATACATATCTGTATTCCTAACACTATGGCCCTGATGCCATCTGTCATTTAGGTCCCTTCCCCTACGGCATGAAGTGCCTAAGATTCTGCCATAGAGAACCCCTGAATACAATGATTCTCTGTAGCCGACAGACGTCACAATATGTAAGATTCCCGCCTCTCATAACCAGAAGGTTTTGAGGCGTGGATTGAAGCCGTGCTTTCAAGCCCTCAATTTGTGTAATACAGGGTTTTGGGGGGTAGTTGAGAAGGGCATGACTGCAGGCACTATATCAACTTCAATAAAATGAAGTTGTTAAAGTGCAAATAGTGTCTCTTTATTTGTATGTATATAAAAAATGTATATACACCGGTAGTTTGTTTTTTTTCTTAGAAAAAGATTGAAAGAAATGATGAAAGATGGGATAAAGTACAAAATATTAAGGCAACTTAACATAGAGGAGTACATACAGGATTGCACGTGAAGTTAATTCTACAAAGTCAGGCATTGCAGATGATATTGGAACAGTAAAAAAATGTCATAAGTAGAGATGTCGCGAACCGTTCGCGAACTTCCCGCGAACGGCTCGCCACGAACCATTCGCGGTTAGCTCCGGTCAGCTGACACATCCCGGCCAATCTCCAGCAGACCCTCCCACCTCCTGGACAGCATCCAGGTTGAAGGCAGCTTCAGCATGGATGCTGTCTAGGAGGTGGGAGGGTCTGGGAGGGAGGGTCTGCTGGAGATTGGCCGGGATGTGTCAGCTGACCGGAGCTCGCCGCGAACGGTTTGTGGCGAACCGTGGCGAGCCGTTCGCGGGTAGTTCGCGAACGGTTCGCGACATCTCTAGTCATAAACATGACTGTGTAATGGTTTCAAGATGTCTATATTTTTTAGTTATTTAAAGACCATCAAAGACACCCAGAGCATTTAATCTCAATGAAGTGGTCATAGTCAGTGGCCCTTTAGTTTTAAACCTGCAATGTAAACACATACAATTTTGTAGAAACTGCAGTGTTTCCATTACAGGATTAAAACACACGTCTAAGACAACCACTATAAACGATTCCTCTCCGAAAACGGAGTCAAACTCTGTTCTCAATCAATTTGCTGCGCATTAGCCTCCTAATGCTTCCTTGTGTGGAAGCATTCGAGTGATTGAGTTCATCAGTCTTGATGATCTCACCTAGGGAGGTGGAGCAGCTGCGGCGAGACAAACGTGGAGAGGGAAATATTTAAAGTAACAATCCTAACACTGTAACCCAGAGCTCGTCCTGGTGCCTGGTATTTGTCAGTCCGTTCACCAGTGGCTAGGGAGAGTGGAGCAGGTTAATTGAGGGACCGTGGAGGCGGCTGGCTAAGCAAGAGTGGAGTCGTGCGGAAAGGGATCTGTAATCTGGCTATTTTTGTTTTGCTCCGTCGTGCACCCTTCTGTGATGCCAGGTGCCAGGATATGCCATCACTCCGGCCCCGGCATCATTAAACAGCATGCGAAGGAGCAGAGCAAGAAGAGCTTTCAGCACCCACACTGGACCCCAAGAAAAGGATCCATTCTAGTTCTCCCAAAGGTAGGGAGGCTGGCTGAACTAATATTGAATTAAAATGAGTAATAATTTGTGAGTGTGTGAGACAATGTGTGTCTGTGAGAATGTGCGCATCTGTATTTTTGGTAGGGTGTGGAACTGCACTCTGTCCCTTTAAGTAGTATCTGTATGTTTTTCAGTCAGTGTCTGTGTGTTTAGGTGATGGCTCCCCTCTGATAGCATGGGAAAGGTGTTTTTACTCACCTGTTTTCCCACGCTGTGCCGGTCTCACCGTGGCTGGCTCCACCTCCATGGCTGAGTGCATCAATCTTTATTATCTTGGCCAATTAAATGTTTTCCCATAGGAAAGCATTGGGAGGTTATTGCACATGCCCAGCAGCTCTACGTAGAACATTCAAAATCTCCATGCAAAGCATGAAGACGCAAAACGTAGTTGCTGCACACTGTGCAGTACTGGACTAAGAAGCATCTCTAGTGGCCATCTGAGTGACTGTTACTAGAGGCGTTATTAGGCAACACTGCCTTTTCTCTGAAAAACTTTTAGCTGGCTCCCTAGATTCCAAGCCCTGCAGTAACCACAAGAGGCATGTGACAAGAGTGCCATAGGACCTGCGTGAAAAAAGCAGTTAAACCGTGCTGCCCAGAAGACTTCAGGTAATCTATCAAACCGTTACAAAACTCTTTGTCTGTAGTGGTTTTGGTGCTTGGAGTGTTACCTTAACATCAAAAAAGGTTAACTTCAAACTTAAACAAGTACTTAGTACAAGTACTAAAATTAGGGATCAACCGATTATCGGTCTGGCCAATATTCTGTATTATCGGCAATAGCGCAGTCAGCCTATAGAGATACAGATATTGCCGATAATACATACCAGGACCACCGGGCCCATTACAAGCCCGGCGGTCCTGGAGGGCCCCGCAGCAAGCTCCTGCTTACCTTCCCAGCAGCTCCCTTCAGATCGCCTGTCTAAATCTTGCAAATCCCACGGCCATCAGAGCGTTGCCACGGGTTACCATGGCAATGCTCCGCACGGCACGCTGGCTGAGAGAGTTGGACAGAGTAGCTGAAGGGAGCTGCTGGGAAGGTAAGTAAGAGCTTGCTGCGGGCCCTCACTTCACAGTCCATGCCACCGGACCACTAGGGAATGCCATATCCCTGGCCAAATAAGAAGCATTTTACACACATTACATACCTACACAAACACACTCTGCATTCATTATATATACACACACACACACACTACACAATCACACTCTGCATTCATTATATACACGCACTACACAAAAATACTTCACTTTGCACACACTAGACACACACCACATTCACTATACATACACACACACACACACTCTGCATTCACTATACATACACACTACACAAACACACTGTATTAAATACACACTACACAAATACACACTGCATGCACTACACAAACACACACAGCTCCTGTCTAAACACACTGCATCTACTACATGTGGCATGTATATTTTGTGCATTTACCTTTAGAAATAGTTTATTTTTTCAAAATGGTAAAGGTACAGAATATCAGCTCTAACAAAAAATAAATAAATCAATATCGTCGATCCCTAGTTAAAATGATACAATTGTATGTGTAACCCTGCCAGTGCCCTACATACACAGTTCAGAATAAGCAGATCACTGATAATGCACAGTAAAAATGTGGGCAAAAATATTCGACAGGGGCTTAGAGCTTCCTAAAACTCCTCAGCGTTCTGTAGTTATACAAGATAAGCTGTCCTTACAACCCAATGTGAAACCAGGAACTAATCAATTCTTGATTAATGTTTATAAACATTCCATGATCATCAAAATGCTATTGTATGTCTTCAGACATGCTCTCCAGAATTATTAAAATATCGATTTTTATGCACAAACACATTCAGGAGATGACTTACCTTTTCATGCCTGTCCAGATGGAGATTTATTTTTTAACTATAAAGGCCTGTGGATATAAAAAGGAACTGCTCCTCTAGGTAAAATTGGGGGGGGAGGGGGGAAGACATTATTTCAACTACACAGGAACAAAGCACCCATAAATATTAATTACATATTATTTACATAGGGGATAGAGAAGCCAGCTTCCTGCGTATGTACACACAGCAAGTGCAATCACTGCCGAGGCATAGCACGTAAAATAGATACAGAATAAACACCCAGAGCTATAGTAAATAACTACAAATATGGCACTGCCATCTACTGGACATGGACGATATGTGAATTCAAAAGCTGAGATTGCATGAGCTGCCATGTTGTTGGGAGGTACAAGGACAGTGCTGCTGCTGCTGCTGCAGCTGCTGCAGCTGCTGTAGCTGCTGTAGCTGTAGCTGTAGCTGTAGCTGTAGCTGTAGCTGTAGCTGCTGTAGCTGTAGCTGTAGCTGTAGTTGCTTACTGGATGTCTGAAGGAAATCAGTTTATTAATCACATTTTAATTCTTGCAGTGATTACTAATCCGATATATTCGTTAGCATGTGGAAATAAATTTAAGATTTCAAAGCTTAAAAGTGTGTGAAGTTATAAAATGCCAGATCACTTACCAGTTTTACCTATAGCAACTTGCAATAAGCTCAGTAAACAATACATCCTGCTACAGTGATTATGGTGCCAGGAGCGTTATGGCTCTGTTAGATAGGAGTGAGAAAAGGATAAATAGACAAAATAAAACGTAAAACTGAAACTCTGATAGGACCATCTCCCAAAAGATCTCAAATAAAAAAGAATGGTCCAGCACTCTCCAAAAATAATCTAGTGTTGTTTTATTTACTCTATAGCAGCAGGCCTCCCAACAGTCCTGCTTTTGGCAGTACAGCCCCAATTTTGGGGTCCTGACCAACATCCCGCTTTAGGTCCCTGGTGTCGTGCATTTGAAGACACCAGGGCACTGTTCCCCGGCAGCACAGCTCAAGCCCATCATTAAACATGCTCGCGCAGTGCAGCGGACACTAGGATCATGCAGGGAGCACTTGGGAGCATGGTCCTGAAGGCTGTGGGCCAGCCAGGCAGTCTGTCAGTAGACATGCGTGCCCCTTTTCCAGTTAGGCCTGCCCATTATGGGCATTGCTATTGACGCGGACTGTGTCACTGTTGACTCCCCTTTCACTACTTTGCAGCCCAGGATGTTGGGAGACATGCAGCAGAAAGCACACACATGGCAATGTTTTGACTCACACAGGAGCCTTTTTCAAAGAATGTATGTCTACCAAGCACCCTATTTGAGTAAGCACTCATCCGTTCTTTGTTGTCTATATGGGGGACCTACTGGCATGATCAGCAAGTACTGTGCTCAAACAATTGGATTCTTCTCATACCGACCTGTTGAATCCAATGTAGCATTTTGGACAAAAGGTTAAAGGAACACTCCAAGCACCATAACCACAACACTTGGTGAAAAATTCAGTCATTTAGTAATTTTCTTTGAATTCACAACAATACACATATTAGTGTGTAAGCCTTGTAGACATGTGTTCACACACACACTCCATTAATTTTTAAGCAGACTGACTCAGGCTGAAACACAGAGCCTATTACACATATTCAGGGAAATGTCAATGTGCTCTGTTTAAAAATCACCCTGGCAGCCCAAATGTGTTGCTTTTAGTTGGACTGTCTGGTTTTTAGGCTCCCGCTCCCGACATCCAAATTTTGTTCCCTGTTATACCACATCCAAGGACACCAGGGAACGGACCCCAGTCAGCACAGTGCAAAAACATTATTAGATGTGTGAGTGCTGTGCTGAGGGAACTATAACAGTGTAGGTCTTCTCTGAGTGGCTGAAAAGCTGTCAGTAAAAAAAATTAAATATACTTACTTTAAAGGATGCTATTAGAGTTGAGCGAACCCGGACTGTAAAGTTCAGGTTCATACCGAACATTACGTTTTTTGGACCCCGGACCCGAACACGGACATATCTCTGTATGTTCGGGTTGAAGTTCGGTGTTCGGCGATTTAATGGTGCGTTTTCAAAGGCTGCAGGGCAGGGCAGCCAATCAACAAGCGTTTGACTTGTGTGCCCTTAGAAGCCATCACAGCCATGCCTACTAATGGCATGGCTGTGAATGGCCAGTGCAGCATGTGACCAAGCCTCTATATATATAAGCTGGAGTCGCGTAGCGCCGCACCCACATGAGCTCTTATTAGTGTAAGGATAGGATGCTGCCGCTTTTAGGGACAGATTAGGAAAGAATTCTGAAAACTAGTACATTAGTGGGGTGCATTTCATATCTGAGAGTCAAATAGAAGCGTCAAATACTGCGGTTACATCAGAGTTCTAAAAAGTAAATTTTTCTGGTGCTATGCTAAATAGTACATTAGTGGGGTGCACTTCATATCCGAGAGTCAAATAGAAGCGTCAAATACTGCTGTCACATTGCAGTTTTAAAACTTAAAATTTTTTGGGTGCTAAAAAGTACATTAGTAGGGTGCACTTCATATCTGAGATTCAAATTGAAGCGTCTAATAGTGCGCTTACAGCGCAGTTATAAAAATTCGAATTTTCTGTGTGCTAATCTGCTAAATAGTACATTTTGGGGCCTGCTCTTCACATCTGAGAGTCAAATCGAAGCGTCTAATAGTGCGCTTACAGCGCAGTTATAAACATTCTCATTGTCTTACTGCTAATCTGCTAAATAGTACATTTTGGGGCCTGCTCTCCATATCTGAGAGTCAAATCGAAGCATCTAATAGTGCGCTTACAGCGCAGTTGTAAACATTCTTATTTTCTGGGTGCTAATCTGCTAAATAGTACATTTTGGGGCCTGCTCTTTATCTGAGAGTCAAATCGAAGCGTCTAATAGTGCACTTACAGCGCAGTTGTAAACATTCTCATTTTCTGGGTGCTAATCTGCTAAATAGTAAATTTTGGGGCCTGCTCTTCATATCTGAGAGTCAAATCGAAGCGTCTAATAGTGTGCTTACAGCGCAGTTGTAAAAATTCTTATTTTCTGGGTGCTAATCTGCAAAATAGTACTTTTTGGGGCCTACTCTTCATACACGAGAGTCAAATTGAAGCGTCTAATAGTGCGCTCCCAGTATGCCTGATGTAGAAGTTAGGAGTCACAGTGTGGAATGGATTAGCAGGGTCTGGTGCAGGGTAACCGCACGCCCCCTGGTGTTGAGCACCAGCGTTTGTGCGGCCACATACCGGGACCCTGATGCAGCTTCAGTAAAAAGAGTACTGGATACCAGAAGCCATCACCAGACTGATCCGCAACTTGGAACAGGATGTGACATTCACTGTAGCGGCTGTGCGCGCTTTTGGCGTTCTCACCCTGCTGCTTGCCTGTCTGAGCTACAGCGCAACTTTGGCCTTCCCGCTTACTGTCTCATATGCGACGTGCCCACAAGGTGGAACTCCACCATGCACATGCTGGAGAGACTGTTTGAGCAGCAGCAGGCGATAGTGGAGCTTCAGCTGCAGCACGCACTCGTCAGGGGCTCTGCACCAGACTTGCCCTCCAATTGATCAGAGTTAAAGGATTTAAAGTGGACTCATTACAATTACAGGGCCTCTAAAGAGTCCTGTATTGTTATTTATCGTCACTACCGTCCCGCGTCGGGAGTGGGTCATTTGCGCGCCTGCTGCTTTCTTTGAATGTGGTAGCCGTTTGTCAGGGTCCCTGGACTGAATAGAACCCTGATTCCCTGTTACCGGTGGTCACCATGGTAGGTGCAGTCAATGGCATCGAAAGTTGATATGGATTGACATACGAATGCGTCATCACCTTCTCGTTGGGGAGCACATTGTAAAAGTGCTCTAGCATGACGAGCTGGGTAATCTCCTCCGGGAACTTGGCTTGATGGGAATTGAGCCAGTTCTGGGTGGCCCTTGTGATACCACGGTGTATACCCAGATATATCACAGCTGCTGCAGAAAGTGCGGGCCGTCTGTGCACGCTTTTGGCGTTCTCACCCTGCTGCTGCTCCCCTGTCTGCATTGCAACGTAACTTTGGCCTTCCCGCTCACCGCCTCATGAGACTGTGCGAGCAGCAGCAGGCGATAGTGGAGTTTCAGATGCAGCACGCACGGGTCAGTCGCTCTGCGAAACAGTTTTCTTTTTTATATGTCCCAATATTTTGGAGGCTATCCCAATTAAAATAAAATAAAAATATATATAAAAAACAGTGTTGGCTACCTCCTCCTCCTCCACCGCTGCTTCCACCTACACCGCCATGGTCACAGCCTCCTCAACCTATGGGTCACTTAGTATAAACTATGTACACAATAGCAGAGGCTTGCGAAGGCCTTTTCTCCATGCATCAGGAGTTGAGCATTTCTCCATGCATCAGGACTGCAAGAAATGCACCGCAGGCCGCAAATGTTTCTTTTTTTATATGTCCCAATATTTTGGGGGCTACCCCAATTAAAATTAAAAAAATATATATATATATACAATCAAGTCCATAAATATTCGACACAATTCTAATCTTTTTAGATCCACCACAATGGTTTTGAAATGAACAAGATGTGCTTTAACTGCAGACTTTCAGCTTTAATTTGATGGTATTTACATCCAAATCAGGTGAACGGTGTAGGAATTACAACAAAAATCTAATGCTTTAGATTTTGATTTATGTTCTTCCAAAGCTAAAATCAAAGATTCCATCTAGTGCTATTTTATGGCTCAGCTGTATTTCTATGTTATTTTAAGTGATTTTCCTATCCACATTTGTTTGCAGGGCACTTGTCCTACTCTTACCCCCATTTTACTTCCCTTTGCAGCCCTCTAGCCCTTTCCAGGACTTTTTTATAGGCATTTTTGTGGCCAAAAGTTCGGGTCCCCAATGACTTCAATGGGGATGGGGTTCGGGTTCGGGGTCAAGATCGATCACGGGGGTCAAGTTCGGCCGAACCTGCCGGACCCGAACATCCAGGTGTCCGCTCAACTCTAGACGCTATAGCTACACAGCTTAAAAAGACTGTCTGTACTTATCAACAGGAAGAGGTTCTACTAAACAGAAGTCCCTTCTTCTACTCAGTTTGATTTTATCCCACAAACCCCTATCCTCTAGCCACTGTCCCACCTTATCCTTTCAATTTAAATTGACACTATAGTCACCAAAACCACTATAGCTTAATGTAGTTGTTCTGGTGGCTATAACCTGTCCCTGCAGGCTTTTCAATGTAAACATTGCCTTTTCAGAGATAAATCAGTGTTTACATTACTGCCTAGTAACATTTCTAGTGGCCCTCACTCCGATGACCACTAGAGGTGCTTCCTGGGTCAGTGCTGCACAATGTGGCACTAAACGCTGCCTGTAGAGATGCATTGATTCAGTGCATCTCTACATAAGAGATGCTGACTGGTGTAGCGTGCCATTTTGCTGCGCATGTGCAATAGTCCCCTAATGCTTTCCTATGGGAAAGCATTGGACTGGCTGAGATTATCAAGTTTGATGATCTCAGCCAAAGAGGAGGAGTGTGGTCGGGTCAGCCGCAATGGACAAAAGGTGAGTAAAATCACCAATCACTTAGCTGACAGGGAGCCAGGCACCTACAATGTGTTTTTGCATTTTGTATTCTTGTCACTATAGTGTTCCTCTAAACATAGCTGGTTTCAAACTTTTGTGTGTGCACTTGGAGTGTGAGATCTAGAGGTGTGTTAAATCTGCAATAAGTTTATAGAAAACTGAAATGTTTCACATTACTGGGTTAGAATGACAGGACCACTGCACCTAGGCCATTTTATTGAGATGAAGTGGTCTGGGTGCCTTCATTGGTCCTTTATTGCCCGACATCCGCTAGAGCACTTTAACCTAGATTTAGTAATCAGTAAACTGTCTCTATTGATTAGTGCTGGAAACAAGCCGTTTCTTCCTCTTGTTATATACGTTTTAACAAGTTGTTTTCTCTGTGTTGTATTATGTATTTGTACACTGAAATACTGTTAACATTTCTGCATAAAATTTAAACTAAAGATTATATTAGAGAGAAGTCAGAATACAAGCCAAAGTCAGAGGGAACCAGAGAGACATAATAATCGAGAAGACAAGCTGAGGTCAAGGGTCAGAGAAAGCAGGATAAAAGGTGAGACAAGCCAAAGATTTGGTAACCAGACAATTAGACAGAGTATACTCGCTATTGGGCTATCAAAAGACCACAACAGGGCAACAAGACACGGAAGATTTTGATTGGCTAACTTTCGATTGGAATTATGACACGTGGAAGGTATTTTACATAGTTACATAGCTGAAAAGAGACTTGCGTCCATCAAGTTCAGCCTTCCTCACATTTGTTTTTTGCTGTTGATCCAAAAGAAGGCAAAAAAAAAAACAGTTTGAAGCACAATTTTGCAACAAGCTAGGAAAAAAATTCCTTCTTGACCCTAGAATGGCAGTCAGATTTATCCTTGGATCAAGCAGTTATTACCCTACATTGAAAGATTATATCCTTGAATATTCTGTTTTTGTATGCATCTAGTAGCTGTTTGAACATCTGTATGGACTCTGATAAAACCACTTCTTCAGGCAGAGAATTCCACATCCTAAAGTCCGGTTTGTGAATAGATTTCCACACAATGGTTTGTATTGGCCCCGAATATATTTGTATAATGTTATCATATCCCCTCTCAGGCGACGTTTTTTTAAACTAAATAGGTTTAAATTTGTTAACCTTTCTTCATAGCTGATGTGTTCCATTCCTTTTATTAATTTTGTAGCCCGCCTCTGCACTTTTTCTAGTGCCATAATATCCTTCATTAGAACAGGTGCCCAAAATTGCACAGCATATTCAATATGTGATTTATAAAGAGGCAAAATGATATTCTCATCCCGAGAATGAATGCCCATTTTCATGCATGACAATACCTCACTGGCCTTGGCCACTGCTGATTGACATTGCACATTGTTGCATAGTTTGTTGTCTATAACAATTCCCAAGTCCTTTTCATGTGTTGTTATCCCTAATTCGCTTCCATTAAGGGTATACGTTGCTTGTGTATTCTTTACGCCGTAGTGCCTAACTTTGCATTTTTCAACATTAACCCCTTAAGGACTGGACTGTTTTTGCGATGTTGTACATTTGCGACCAGGCATATTTTTACACTTTTGTGGTGTTTGTCTTTAGCTGTAATTTTCCGCTCTCCCATTTACTGTTCCCATACAAATTATATATTGTTTTTTTCAGGACAAAAGGGGCTTTCTTTACATACCATTATTTATATAATCTCTTGTATTTTAATTTAAAAAAAATATGATGAAAAATTGAAAACAAATACATGTTTTTTGACTTTTACTTGAAAAATCTTTTACTCATCTACAAAAGCGAATGAAAAAAACTGCTAAATAGATTCAAATTTTGGCCAGAGTTTAAAAATACCCAGTGTTTATGTGCTTTTTTGCTTTTTTTTGCATGTTATAGGGCTATAGGTACAAGTAGGATATTGTGGTTTCAAAACATACATTTTTAAAATTTATCAATAGTGACATTGTAACACTATTATCTGTCATAAATCTCTAAATAACACCCCACATGTACATATTTTTTTTAAAGTAGACAACCCAGGGTATTCAATATGGGGTATGTCCAGTCTTTTTTAGTAGCCACTTAGTCGAAAACACTGGCCAAAGTAAGCATTCATATTTGTTTGTGTGTGAAAAAAGTAAAAACTAAATTGAACGCTAATTTTGGCCAGTACTGGGTTGTCTTCTTGCAAATGGTATGCCAACATAGGGGTAATTCTCATTCCTGGGCTACCATACGCTCTCAAAGGCAACATAACCAACCTGACAATTTTCAATGTAAAAATATTTGACCCTGTAACTTTCAAAAACGCTATAAAACCTGTACATGGAGGGTACTGTTATACTCGGGAGACATTGCAGAACACAAATATTAGTGTTTCAAAACAGGAAAACGTATCACAACAATTATATCATCAGTAAAAGTGCTGTTTGTGTGTGAAAAATGCAAAAAAAGGTCACTTTCACTGACAATATCATCGCTGTGATATGTTTTACTGTTTTGAATCACTAATATTTGTGTTCAGCGAAGTCTCCCGAGTAAAACAGTACCCCCCATGTACAGGCTTTAGGGTGTCGTAGAACGTTACAGGGTAAAATATAGCAAGTTAGTAAAATTAAATTCTCTGGACTTTCGGCCTGGGTTGGCAGACAGGTCCCTCAAATTGCAATCAATAAAATTACTTAATTATGTAAAAATATTACATAAATACGCACGTAGAATTAAAAATATGCATATTTATATATTTGAAGTCTACATGTATATTTATATAATTATTTATGTCATTTTGTATATGGACATATGTATATTTTGTATTATTTTTATTTATTTATATATATACATAGATATATATACAAATTCATTCTAAGTGTATTTTGATATAAATATATATATATTAATTTTAAAATACAGTTAGAATAAAATTTCATATAGAAATTTCATATTTTTTTCAATTTTTATTTAAAAAAAATGTAATTTAATTTAAATTACTTATTATTTATATTTTATAATAATATATATACAATATATATAGTTATTATATATATACGTGTGTAATTTAATTATAAGTGTATTTTTATATTAATATATGTACATATTAATATAAAAATACACTTAGTATGACATTATATATATGATATATAGATATAGATATAATATGTCTATATATCATATATATATAATATATATATACACATATATAATTTTTTTTATTTTTTATTAACACTTACTTTATTTTTTTTATTTTTTTTACACTAGCAGGGAGACTGCCTGTCAGCACAGGCAGTCCCCCTGCAGGCAGACACATGGACACC